CTGACAATTAGTAGTTTGTTCCTTAATACCATTTCTTAAAACTAAAGTTAGGAAACATAAAAAAAAAAAAAAAAAAAAAAAGTCAGAGCAAGCAGTCAATATAGGAGTCACAAAAAAAAAAAAAAAAAAAAAATCACAACATGTTAATGATACAAGTTCAACAGTCCTGGCTCTTTGCAGTTTACATTTACCACATCAAGGACTTTTTTTTTTCTTATTTTAAGTTATCTTGTAAGAAGTCTTGTCATTTAAAATTTTTTTCAGGCCTCATTCACTAAACTTCTTTGTTTATTCAAGGACTTTAAACGTTCATATTAAAATGGATCAGATAAAAAAGAAATTTAGGACTATCAGCTAGGCTGAGCCTAATGACTGGGAAGTTAGTTAGATAGAGGTGGTAGTGGAAACTATGGGAGTTGAAGATAGGGTCTGACTATGTTGCCCAGGTTGGCCATGAATTTTTGGGCTCAAGTGATCCTCCTGCCTCAGCTTCCCTGATAGCTGGGAATGACAGATGCTGGCCTCCATCAGTCAGAACTAGGATATGACAAAGCTCAACAGGTGTCAGTCACACCAAAGCTAAGCCTTTCAAAACATCTGAGAAAGTCTATGGAACATATAGAAGAGTACTAACAACTTTTTAAAACTGCCAAAGTTATGATTTCTAACCTAGTAGCATCAGCTGGGAGCTTAATAGAAATATATAATCTTGGGACTCTGCCCAAGACCACTGATATGAAGCTACAGTTTAGCAGGATCCCCAGGTGGTTCAAATGTACATTAAAAACCAAGAAGCATAAATCTAAGATACTGTACTCATCTTCTCAGRAAACCAGAGAATTTTATTTTTTAAGATAAACTTTTAAAAGACAATAAATAATCAAGAGTAAAACTACAGGGGCTAGGGCTATGGCTCAGCTGTAGAGTGCTTGCCTAGCACGAGGCCCTGGGTTCGATCCTCAGCCCCACATAAAAATAAATAAATAAAAATAGAGGTATTATATCTAACTACAAAAAAAAAAGAGTAAAACTACTGTACTATATATTATAATTGAACAACTACCGATACCTTAAGATTTGAACTCCAAAGATCAAGCATATTTTCCATCCTCTGAAGGTTTTCATCAAAAACAAGACTATCACCCACAAATATTTCATGGGCATCTGTAAGAGCAGAATTAGACCTTGATGAGGAAGAGTCACCTAAAAGATGTGAACTGAAAAAATCCATGACTGGGTGAGAAGGCTTCCTTGGTGATGACACTGGTGATGATCCTAGAATAAATGAAAAATTGTAGTAGTTGAGCCAAATTAAAAACTTTGCCAAACTTTTAGGAAGTAATACTGAAAGGCTATAAGATGTCTGCTATCAATAAAAGAGAATAAAATCATGGCATTTGCAGGCAAATGGATGGAATTGGAGAATATAATGCTAAGTGAAGTAAGCCAATCCCCAAAATCCAAATGCCAAATGTTTTCTCTGAAATAAGGAGGCTGATTCATATTGGGGTTGGGAGGGGGAGTGGAGCATGGGAGGATTAGATAAACTCTAGATAGAGCAGAGGGGTTGGAAGGGTAAGGAGGGGGCATGCAGGTAGGAAAGATCGTGGAATGAGATGGACATCATTACCCTAAGTATATATATGTATGAAGAGAATGAATGGTGTGAATATACTTTATATACAACCAGAGATATAAAAAATTGTGCTCTAAATGTGTAATATGATTTATAATGCATTCTGCTGTCATATATAACAAAAAGAGAATGAATGGTGTGAATATACTTTATATACAACCAGAGATATAAAAAATTGTGCTCTAAATGTGTAATATGATTTATAATGCATTCTGCTGTCATATATAACAAATTAGAATAAAAAAGTTGCTGTCATATATAACAAATTAGAATAAAAAAGTTGTTTGCTATCTATGGAGGCTGAGAGAAATTGTCTTTCAGGTATATACCTTAATCTGGCTATTTTAAATTTCAGTATTATCATTGATTTAGGATTAACCTGCATGAGATGCCTCCTACACTCCCCTCAGCCCAACAAATGACCCCTATCCCAAATAAGGATGCTTTATATATCCTAATCCAGCCTGAATTGCAAGTATTATCATCCATATCATCACATTAACATGAACTAAGTACTAAATTCCTATAATAAAAATGTTGAAAGGTCAACTCTTATAACACATGCTACCTTAATGTTACCCTAATAATACCTAAGAAGTAAGTGTAACTATCTTTATTTTAATGAGAAAACTAAAGCTCAGAAAGAATTAAATAATTGACMAATGTCAGAATGGTTCTATATAGGTCATTAATACTTTATTAATAACATAATTTATAGCATAGCATAATCATCACCATTGCATTAATTCTACTGCATCCTAATCTTGCCCCAAAGACAGTTTAGTAATAAATAATTTTTTAAGTCATACTGGTATATTAAAAAAAAAAGCTTTACATAATGGTCATACTCTTCTTTTTGCACAAAAATTTGGCATAAAATCTGCAATGATTATGCATTGAAATATGATAACACTAGCATAGGTCTTAATATGGATAAGATTCAACAATATAAATAGAGAGGGGCTAATAATTTAATTTAATTTACCAGATACTCTGTTGTAAGGCACTCTTTTAGCTTTTAACTTGCTGGGTGAGAAATATATACATCTATCTATACACATATACTTATATAAATAACTCCCATCCCTTGTCCTTATACAGGGAGGTGGGGAAGAGCCTGAGCCAGAAAAAGAACTCTTGCTATCTCTAAAAAGCACAAAACAAAATGAAATTAAACCTTTATTTCTCACCATGCACAAAACTCAACTCAAAGTGGATCAAGGACCTAGGAATTAAACCAGAGACTTTGTGCCTAATGGAAGAAAAAGTAGGCCCAAATCTCTATCATGTTGGATTAGGCCCCAACTTCTTTAATAAGACTCCTATAACAYAAGAATTAAAACCAAGAATCAATAAATGGGATGGATTCAAACTAAAAATCTTCTTTTTCAGCAAAAGCAACAATCAGTGAGGTGAATAGAGAACCTACAGAATGGGAGCAAATTTTTACCACAAGCACATCAGATAGAGCACTACATCTAGAATATATAAAGCACTCAAAAACCTTAATACCAATAAATAAATAAATAAATAAATGGGCCAAGGAACTGAACAGACACTTCTCAGAAGAGGATATACAATCAATCAACAAATGTATGAAAAAATGTTCAACAGCTCTAGCAATTAGAGAAATGCAAATCAAAACTACTCTAAGATTTCACTTCATTCCAGTCAGATGGCAGCTATCAAGAATACAAACAACAATAAGTGTTGGTAAGGATGTGAGGAAAAAGGCATACTCATACATTGCTGGTGGGACTGTAAATTGGTGCAACCAATATGGAAAGCAATAGGAGACTCATTGGAAAACTTGGAATGGAATCACCATTTGACCCAGCTATCCCACTCCTTGGTTTATACCCAAAGGACTTAAAAAACAGCATACTACAGGGACACAGCCATATCAATGTTTATAGCAGCATAATTCACAATAGCTAAATTGTGGAACCAACCCAGATGTCCTTCAGTAGATGAATAAATAAAGAAACTGGGGTATATATACACAATTGAATATTACACAGCATTAGAATCAAGGCATTTGCAGGTAAATGGATGGAGTTGGAGAATATCATGCTAAATGAAGTAAGTCAATCCCAAAAAACCAAAGGCCGAATATTTTCTCTGATATGTGGATGCTGATCCATAGTGGGGATGGGCCAGGGGAGCATGAGAGGAATGGAGGAACTTTAGATAGGACAAAGGGGAGAAAGGGGAAGGAGGGGGCATGGGGATAGGAAAGATGGTGGAATGAGTTAGATATCAATACCCTAAGTACATGCATAAAGACATGAATGGTGTGACTCTACTTCCTATACAATCAGTGACTTGAAAAATTGTGCTCTATATGTGTAATATGAAATGAACTACATTCTGTCATTGTGTATAAAAAATCAGAGTAAATAAAAAATTTTAAAAAAGAATATAAATGCAAGTAGAGTATATGGGTCAAAATACACAAATTTAATGCAGACATTTCTTCTATGGTAAGAACACAGCTGACTGATACTGGCCAATGTATGAACATGTAATAACAAATCCCATCATTATGTGCAAGTATAATGTATCAATAAAAAATGTGGRACAACAAAAAAGCACAAAATAGAAAGTTTAATTTTTTGTCACACATTTATGTTTGGAATTAGAGACTATCACCATTTTTCATGTAGCTCACATTTGTTGTGAGTTCTAATAACCAGGATTGAAGGACTTTGCTCTCTTCCTTACTGAATGAATAGAAGACAAACCTACTAGGGCTGGGGTTGTGGCTCARTAGTAGAGCGCTTGCCTAGTACGTGTGAAGCACTGGGTTTGATTCTCAGCACTACATAAAAATAAAGAAATAAATTTTTTTTAACATCTTATTAATACAGTATTTATTTGTCTTCCCTCTGTCAAACCCTGAGCCAACCACTTTCCCCAGATTGCCTGAGAAAGTATAGGAAAAGGGACATACAGGGCAGACAAGACATGGGAGAAAGAATTCGAGGCGGAGACTGCTCCTTCACATGGCGAAAGGATGAGAAAGGCCACCATCAGGCAAAAGAGCCCCATGGCCTCTGAGAGGGCAAAGCCCAGAATGGCATAGGAGAAGAGCTGTTGCTTCAGAGAAGGGTTCCTGGCATAACCAATGATAAGGCTTCCAAATACAGTCCCAATCCCAGCCCCAGAGCCAGCCACCCCAACTGTGGCAGCCCCAGCCCCAATGAACTTGGCTGCTGTGTCAATGTCCCTTGAAATGGTGCTGGTTTGGAAGCGGTGGCGAGGGATAAGTGAGGTCAGGGGACATGGGACTGCCAAGCTGCTGAAGCTCTCATATGTCAGTGTCTCTGGTCGGTTCAGAACCACTGCAGACAGTGGTCGGCYCAGCAGATGAGAGGTGCTCCTGACCAAGGAGTGGGTGGAGAGGAACCTGGAGCAGGCATACATTTTCAGGGGGTGAGGGGCCTGGCAAGAAAGCTGCTCCCAGTGCAGAGAAGACAGAGAGGGGCCAATAAAGAAATAAAATTAAAGATATTGTGTCCATCTACAACAACAACAAACAGACAAACCGACTCTAGAACTTGCTGGAGTTCTGTAGATTTTTAATTGTTGAAAAAATATACATACCCTCTAAGAAACAGAATCATGTAACTTAAGAACTTGGAAGGCCTGTCCAAGATTATACTGCCAAAGACTTATTACAAGTAAGGAAAATAAAGGGTAGAGACATTTTTAAAATGGTGGCTTAAATGGTTTCCACATAGAGTAACACTGAATCACATAATAAGGAAAGTATTCCATTTTTATTTTAAAAATTATTCTCAATCTGATTCTAGTATGCTTTTAAAACCTTAGTTTTCTCTAGCCTCATGTTTCAGAAAAACTGTCATTTTCTCTATTTTATTTTATTTAAAAAATCTTTTAGTTGATGATAGACTTTTATTTTATTTATTTATATGTGTTGCTGAGAATCGAACCCAGTGCCTCATACATGCCAGGCAAGTGCGCTTATTGCTGAGCCCTAGCCCCAGCCCACTCCATTTAATTTTAAATATCAGACACCTTGCCATTCTGCAATATTTTGTTTTGCCTAGAGACCATTAACATTGTTAATCTCTCCTTTCAAAAAAAAAAAAAACAACGCTGATTTTAGGCCCAACACATCACCACCCAATAATGCTGTAATAAAACTTAATACTTTGTTTTCAATATGTTTATTTTTACCATTACATTCATATTTTAACAAATGCATATTAACTTTATATTCAATAATAACTGAAACAAAGTTTCTTTTTAAAATGAAATGAATTTAAGCTAAAAAGTGAACATATATTAAAAAAAACAATAAATTAGAGAACAGATGGTATAAAGATATGACAGAAGCCATTACATTGATACACATATGCCTGAAAGTTGGGAAATAGTGCACTATAGTTTACAAAAGATTTAAGTTAGTCAAGCTGTCTAACATCACATTAAATCTTTAAAACTGGAGCTGGAGTTGTGGCTCAGTGATAGAGCGCTTGTCTGGCATGTGTGAGGCCCTGGGTTCGATCCTCAGCACCACATTTTATATAAGTAAATAAAACAAAAGATCCATTGACAACTAAAAAATATATGTAAAAAAATCTTGGGGCTGGGATGTAGCTCCATGGCAAAGCATCTGCCTTGCATTCGCGAAGCCCTGGGTTCGACCCCCAATTAAAAAAAAAAAAAAAAAAAAAAAAAAAAAAAAAAAAAAAGAACCCTATCAAAAAAAAAAAAAAAGATTAAAAAAAAATCTTTAAAACTACTAATTTTATAACTTAGCAGTTTTGAAACAGAATACTGAATACTACGATGCACTAACCGGTCTTAATTGTACTATTTTGAAATTTACTAAGTTATTTTAAATATTATCATTTAAAATTATTTAAAATCAATTGGTAACATTAGYACTTAAAAAATCCTGCAAGTAATATGCTGATATTATTTCCCTTATTATATTGATAATGTTTATCAAACCACAAAATCTTGCATATTAATAAAAACAAGCTAAGGAAAGGTCATACCATCTATCTTTGAATGACTGGAAATATTTAAATCAGATCCTTTTCCAACTTCTATTGCAGTTTCTCTTACTGCAGAGCTGCTTCCTGCTGAAAAGAAAGTTTTATTTTTATTAAATGGAACCACTCTTGAATGCTTAATCATATATACCTAATTAAAGAAGGCAGTAGTATGTAAATAAGATTTTAAAACAAAGAAACTACAATATATGCTGGTGATACAGGAATACTAAAAGAACAAGAAAGAAAAAAAATAGAAAACCCTTATTGTATCATTGATAAACTCAATCAATGAAATATAGATGAAAGAATTTAGTCTATTACAGCATTCAACTCATTCTATTAGAAATGGATTTGTTATCTTCTAATGACACTGGGTATTTTCTGTGCCTGTKCTTTCCATTAGCTGCAATCAAACCAAAGCATTAGCTCTCCCCAAACAAGGATTTCCCTGCTTCAGTTTCAGAACTTTTAGTCAATACATAGCAAAAGCAAAATAGGGAACCCTCACAAGACTGGCATTAGAGGCTTATATATACTTTCCCAACTTGAACATATCCTACTTACACCAGGTGACTGCAATACCAAGAACAGAGAACACCAGGTGACTGCAATACCAAGAACAGAGAACACGTGATGATAAGTTTACAAAGTCCATTCTAACAAAGCCTGCATCTGAATCAGGATATTTATACTTACTATATATTGTATATTTTAATCTTAAATTCTTTTTGGAAAAGACAGAACGTAAACAAATAAGTACTATCTTACATGGAAGAAAAGAACAATGATCTTAAATGCCAGATGATTACCTTGAAATGTTGGCGAACTAGGGCAAGGAAAGGAGTTGTATTACTAGTAACACCAGGAGTATTGCTGGCAACATGAGAGGAGACAACCTTTTGGTAATCACCATAAGGGTAGAGGCATATAGAGCTACAGTATCAAATTTCCTATTTAAATGTATAAGAGAGTATGTAGTGTTTTGGGTTTGCTCAGTAGGAACTGCATGTTGAAGTACTTAGTGTAATCAAAACATGATCTAAAAAAAAAAAAAAAAAAAACCCAAAAAACCAACATGATCTAGATCACTGATGCGGAATGAAAAAAATCCAAGGTTCCTATCTTTTGAAGGTAATAAAATGTAAGTAGAAAATTTTGTCAGAATTAAAAAAAAAAATTTTAAGGTTCTAGGCCTGTAGTCCTATTTGTCATTCCAACACAGACTGAAGACTGAGGGGCAATGAAAAATTGTTGTGAAATAGCTGGCCACAGTGGCACATGCCTATAATCCCAACAGCTTGGGAGGCTGAGACAGAAAGATTACTAGTTCAAAGCCAGCCTCAGCAATGGCAAGGTGCTAAGCAACTCAGTGAAATCCTGTGTCCCTAAATAAAATACAAAATAGGGATAGAGATGTGGCTCAGTGGTTGAGTGCCCTTGAGTTCAATTCCCAGTACCAAAAAAAAAAAAAATTGTGTACAGAGGGTAAGGAACAGAAACTAGAGCTGTGACTTACTGAAAATCCAGGAGCTGTGCGGCTCTTGAGTTGTTATGTCATGTGCCTTCAAGAACAGGGATCCTTATGCCTGCATAAGTATAAACCTACAAAATGCTATCTGTCCATTATGAGGACTGTCTGAGGAAGGCATTCTGTGCCCTTTGAAAGAACACTTATTTATAGTTAGTGTTTGGGATTTGTACTTTACTGAATAAAGAATGGATAGGTCCTCCTTTCTCTACCTTTCATTCAATTAAAAAAATTTTTTTGTTTTCTTTTAGTTGTCGACGGACCTTTACTTTATTTATTGATATGCAGTGCTAAGAATCAAACCCAGTGCCTCACACATACCACCGAGTCACAACACCAACCTTCCTTTCACTCATTTTTATCAGCTATTAATTCTGTTGTTGACACAGTCTCATTTATGGGTTCATCTTTTACTAATGTTCTCCCKCGAACAATCCTCTATGCCCAAATACTGCTGAAACAGTACTGATATGTGTTTCGTAAAGTAACTTGAGAGATTCTAGGGCTACCTAGGGACAACCTTTAATGTAGGGCTAGGGCATTTAGTTTTTGTTTTTTTGGGTTTGTTTTTTTTTTTGGTACTGAGAATTGAACTCAGGGGCACTCAACTACTGAGCCACATCCCCAGCCTTATTTTATATTATATTTAGAGACAGGGTCTCACTGAATTGCTTAGTACCTCACTGTTGCTGAGACTGGCTCTGAACTCTCGATCCTCTTGTCTCAGCCTCCCAAGCCACTGGGATTATAGGCGTGTGCCACCACGCCTGGCTAGGGCATTTAGTTTTAATCCAGCCATAAAACTGTGGAATAAGAACTCAGATGCAACATTAAGAGAGATACAATTGCTATAGCATTGCTTTAACTGTATTACTTTTTATAAAAGGAAGAGTTAAATGAAGTTGGGCGGGGGATATAGCTCAGTTGGTAGAATGCTTGCTTTGCATGCACAAGGACCAAAACTTTTTTAAAGTAAAGTGGTATACACAAAAACTTAGTCTTGGGCTGTAGTTGTGGCTCAGTGGTAGAGTACTTGCCTAGCACATGTGAGGCACTGGGTTCAATTCTCAGCACCACATTAAATAAACAAACAAACAAATAAAAAGATATTGTGTCCATCTACAACTAAAAATTAAAAAACTTTAGTCTAAAAAAAAAAAGAGTTAAAATAAAAATCCAGCCAGGAATAACATGGTAAAATGTAAATAGATCCCCTACATCACATTAATGAGAAGAATTGCTGATCTGAAGAGACATTTTCAGAATCATAATACAGTATCATTATTAAACTTGAAAATATCTTAAATTAAGAGATATTTTTAAAAATATACATAACCTTGATTATGAAGAATATTATCAATGGGAGTAGGACTTCTAACTTCTGGCACCACTTCTGCCTTAGGATGAGATGGCTGTGACTGTGAAGTACTGGATTCCATATTTGGAGTCACTATAGCATAACGAAGTAGTTCTTCATATTCTTCCTATGAGAAGCCAAAAATCAATATTGTATTTTAACAGCTATACTGCATAAAACATTCAACCTGACTGGACCTTTTTGTTAAGAAATTTAATTACCATAATAGATTAAAGCTTATCACAATATAGTTTTAGCATTTATTTCAAGCTTGAGTCCTTCAAGTGCTTCTTGTGTGATTTTTAAATTTATGATTAAAAATGTAATCTTAGAAGTTTGAAAAGGTGACAGATTCTGTTAGTGATTCAATACAATTAAAATTTATCTACCATTTCTTTCTTATGCTTTAGATGAATTTAACTGAAGATGAGGCATGCTAATAAAAAACTACCATTATTACTGCCTTATAATGAGAATCAGAAACTTCTGCGTTGATATTATGTATCTAAAATAAAAGAAGCAAATTGGATACTTAGGCTTATAATATTGCACTGGCTTTTTATCTCCCTCTAATTTTAAATGTACATTTGTCAAGCAGCTAAATTGGTTTCACTGATTTTGAAAAGTAATGACACAAATTTGAGTTTATAAAATAAATCTATGATTGTAGTTCTGTTTTAATCTGTTTTCATACTGAACTTTAAGTAAAATTGTTTGAAAAAAAGGGTTTATGCTGGTCTATGTTTGAAAACTGTTAGTCTTTGTGGCAATAATATAAAAGAGTGAGTTGGTTTGAGTGTTAAACTATATTACATATTTAACATAGACATTTATATTCAGTAAATATTAGATATAGCAAATACAGATTTTTTTTTTTTTTACAGTGTATGGTAAGTTTAACAGCAGAAGAGAAACAGACACATTCTAAAGAGAACCTTTAGGAAAATCTAATCACCAGAATTCCCTTTACATTGCTATAATCAACTTCTTTTTTCCTTCCTGTACTGAGGATTAAACCCAGGGGAACTCTACCATTGAGCTACACCCACAACCCTTTTTTATTTTTTACAGAAAGGGTCTTATAAGTTGGCCGGGCTGGCCTTTTTAACTTGCAATCCTTCTGAGTTAGCTTCCTGAGTTGCTAGGATCACAAATATAGGCCATCACATGTGACTATAATCTCCTTTTTGTTAGTGATGTCCYTTTATCACAATAAAAAGACTTTTCTGAGTTTTAAATTGACATTTTCTGATAGAAAATAAAAGTAAGTATTTAGTTTACGGTTATCACTAAAGCAGAAGGCTCTTAACACGAAAAAAAATCATTTAGAACATCAACATACAACTCTGCTGCAGGCCTAACCATGGACCCTCATGGAGGAATGCTTATCTTGATCATTGTGCAGCAGGGAAGTCCTAACAGAACACTATGTTTTGGGACAAAGTGCTGTCAGAACACTGGCAAGCACAATTTCCTTGCTCATTTGATAAGTTATTCCCCTGCTGGTGTGGGGTTGGACTATGTAGTAGTTTCTGGCCTCTTGGGTGTTTTGGCTTCCATAAGATGATATGTATGTATTACCCCTGGCCTATCATGACTGTTATATGTAAATTGGCACATACCTGCTATAAAAGTTATTTTTGCTGTGCAATGAAGCAGACACTGTTCTCTGAAATAGTCTCTGGAGGGATTTCTCCATAACCTCAAGTTCCCCACAGTAGATGTTGGAGGGATAAGCCCCCCAGCACAACTCTAATTTTTATGTTGACAAAAGTAATTACCATTCTTTAAATGGATTTAAATGCCCTTAAATTTAAAAAATATACTTCTTGAGCCATATGTTTTCTACTTATTAAAATAAAGTTCCCAAAGAGATTGATAAGTTAGGGTTAAACACAGGTATTTGTTGGTTCCCATAAACCTGAATGTATATTTATTAGTTTATATAATAAAGTAATAATACAACATAAAGGACTCAAGTGTATGTACTCTCTATGGTGGAAACTGCTAGTGGTCCATTTCCCCTTTATTCCTTTTAAGTTAATAAAGTTCCAGGGTTTGACCTGGGCAAAAGGCCACCCAGCTACATTTCCTAGCCTCCCTTGCTGCTAGGTTTGGTGAAAACACCTGRTCTCTTGGGATTTGAATGGAAATGATGTGTACAGATGTAGGTGAATTCCTTAAAAAGGAAACTGATTGTTTTCTGTTCCTCTCTTCCCATGGACTAGGGGTGGTAGTAAGCCAGCAAACATAATCACAATACAAACACAATCAATACCCTATAGGGCATGGCAGAGCAACAAGAGAAAGAGGAACAAACTTTAAGATATTCAAGACATTTCTTATTTAGTTGTTAAAGCAGCCAAAAAACAAAAACAAAAACAAAAACAAAACAAACCCTAACTTATACTTCTCAAACAGGCCTTTAATGTTGGCTAAGAATATATACAAGTATAACTGTTATGGACTGAAGCTCTAAAACTAAGTGTGGCTGTATTTGAAGATGAGGACTCTAAGGAAGAAATTAAGGTTAAATAAGTCACAGGCTAGGACCCTGATCTGATAGGGTTAGTGTCCTTAGGAGAAGAAACATTAAAGAGCTCGTGTTCTCTCCCTCATGTTCACTTACTGCACCAAAGAAAGTTCATGTGAGGACAGAGTGAGAAGATAGCCAGAAGAGAGATCTCACCAGAAACTGACCTGGCTGGACCTTGAGCTGGCACTTTTATCTCCAGAACTCTGAAGAAATAAATTAATAAATTTCTGTTGTTTAAGTTCCCAGATCTATCTATCTACCTACCTACCTTTTTTTTTTTTTGCAGGCAAAGGATTAAACCCAGGGCCTCACATATGCCAAGCAAGTGTTGTCTACCACAAAGCCACATCCCCAGCCCTCTATTAAATTGTTTCTAATTTTTTTTTTAGTTGTAGTTGAACACAATACCTTCATTTTATTTATTTACTGTTATGTGGAGCTGAGGATAGAACCCAGCATGTGCTTTACYGCTGAGCCATAACCTCAGCTCCCTCTATTGTATTTTTAATGGAGGTCCAAGCTGACTAATAAGAATGCTCTTAGGGGATGAAGCTGCTCAGTGGCAGAGTGTTTGTCTRGCTTGTGTGAGCACTGGGTTTGATCCTTAGCTAGCTATCTATCTATATATATATTGAAGAAAAGAAAACAAATAGAATAATGGCATGCTGTCCAGCTGCAACTACAAAAAAAAATTTAGGGTCTCTTCCCTCTGGTGGCAATTAGCCAAATCAGCTCTGCTCAGTTAACTGAATATTATTTCACAGACAGTAGGCAGGGAGGGGAAAGTAGAAGTCAGTGGCTTTCATTTGTGGCTTTTAGCCTGACCTCTATCCTAGAACAGAGAAGTTAAAAAAAAAAAGAAAGAAAGAAAGAAAGAAAAGAAAGGAAAAGAAAAAGAAATCCAAACATAATATTTCAAAGTTCTCACAATAATCACTAAGACTCAAAGGGGAGATAAATAGGTATATAACAATAATATTCAATGATCATATGAATTCTAACTTATTTTGAAGAAAGATTTGAAAAATAAATTATATAAAGAACTATTTTTGAGTTTCATATATGTAGATGTGCAACAAGTGGGGTATTTTCAGTTAAGGATTAGAATAAATAACATTGTTTTTCTAAATTGTCAAAGATAACTTGTCTTAAGGTTAAATAACAATCCTAGAGTAAGAACTAGAGCTTTTAATTTTGGCTGATCCCCAAACCCCAGTGGTTGCACTGATATGACCTCGAAATACAGTTCAAACCATACTTTAACCATCTGAATTAGGGAAACTTGCTCACAGATCACAGTTGTGCTTATGAGAAATTATCAGCATATAATAAGCACCACCGATATTGCCTCAGCATTTACCATCTTCTGGTTTATGAAGCCATCACATAATATAGACAGTAACCAAAAACCCCTTAAGAGGAATAGTAGTTTATGAGGAATTTTTGTATTAAATATTTGATTTTACATATTTACTATGTATGTAAAAGTATGTATTTATTTTGTGATATTTTAAAGGTTTTTTTTATATTTATATTTTAAAGTTTTTCTAGAACTAGAATCCAAAATAACAACACTGAATTCATAGGAAATATGTGCAGGCTTTCAAGTTTATTCCAACAACCAGTAGGATCAAAAGCTGAGGGTTACTAATAAACATACTCTCAGTTGGACTGACATTATAAGCAGGTAACCAACTATACAAAATAATTTCTGGTAGGTCTAGGAGACTCTTCCCTTTATCTTTCTCAAATTCCATTCTAGAGATTTATTTACAGATTGAATGACCAACTATAATCTGGGGATAAAACCCAGGGCCTTGCTGTGCTAGGCAAAAGTGCTCTACCACTGAGTGACATTCCCAACCCCAATTTTTATTCTTTAATTTAAAACTTTGACTCTAGACAAAAATGACAATTTAAGACTTTATAGGATATTTGTATTTTACTATAAATGAATTACTAAGTTCTTAACTGAAGGAAGTTTGGATGAAGTAAAGATGAAAGGTGCAAAAATGCATTGTCACCTCAAAAGACAGCACTACATGGGAAAGACACCACCAAAAGGGAAGGCCAAGATGACATATTTATGTCACAATTGTAGACCAATTCATCCTAGTAAATGTTCAGATATTTTTCAGTACCTCCCAATTTCTGTATCTATAATTTCATATACTAAAAAACCCATTTGTTCAATAAAATATTTTTCTGAAATTTATCTCATATTATACACAATCAATGAACTTACATAGAAACACAATGTGCAGCTTTTCCACTTTTAAGTGATGTTAACTATAAAACTTAAAGTATACCAGGTCGGTATTCTCTCATTTAAAATATAACAGAAATCTGAGTCTGTGTTTTTGATGATGAAACAGAAATAAAAGAAATAAAAAGTATYTCATGTAGACACTACCCCTTCTGTAGTCAACTTATCTGTCAATGTCCAGGGCCTRTGCAAAAGACTGTGCTGAATGTTGTGGCAACAAGGAATAGAACCTGAACAAGTAGAACACAAGGGAATCTCAGGCTCCAGAACTTTGGATGGCTTGGATACTGTCTCAACTTGCATTAAAAGTAAAAGTTTCAAAACAGGTAGTAGGGCCGGGGTTGTGGCTCAGTGGTAGAGTGCTGGTCTATCATGTGTGAGGCACTGGGTTCAATCCCCAGCACAACATAAAAACAAATAAATAAATTAAATAAAGGTATTTTAAAAAAAACACAAGTAGTGTATGAAAAAATATCAGGAAACATTTTTTTTCTTTTCTATTAGTTGAATTCTTTGTACAAAAAACTGTTTGAAGAGTTCATGACTATTTTTCTGAAAAGTTAAAACAATGTGAAGTAACTCCCAAAAATCTTAAAGTAATTCCCAAAGTTTATATTATTGTCATCTGAAACACTCCATTGTAAATGAAATGAATGAAGAATTTATGCCTGGTTTTCTCATAAATTATCACTTGTTTAAAATAAAAAAAGTCATGACATGTCTTCCTACCTGAAGATCTGCAGAGACAGAACTGCCTGGATCGGAGTCATTTTGTATAACTGGAACTGAGCATTTGTCCTCATCTGATGACATTCTGCAAAAATATTATAAAATGGTAGAAACTAATTTTAGTATTTTCCCTTGACATTTAAACTAAAATGGCTTTAAATATATATCCTTACCTGCAAATAAACTTCATGTTATGTRTTAAAAAAAGTATTCATTTAATATATTGAGAACTTTTACACAAAAATCACTGGGCAAGGAAAAAATAATGTTTATATGTAGTAAAATACAAGAAAAGTCAAAGAAAAGTGTTTTGGAGAAATTCCCATTGGGGTCTGTTGAGAAATAGATTGTGATCACTGTTCTTTAGCAGTGTGTGACAACCTGAATCCTGTGTGCTTTCCTGTGAGATACTGAACCAACAGAAAATGAACGATTTGCATAAATTCTCTTCTGGGGAAACCTACTTTTTGGGAATATTATATTAAGAAAAGCAAGCTTATACAGAACTGATTCAAATACACATACAGAAAAATTATTGAAATTCCTAACCAAAACAAATAAATAAATATACCTTAAAAGACAAATAATGATTATTTAAACTATGTGAACACCAGTTAATGTTAAGACATTGGTGAGGAACTGTAAAATGAAGTCCCTATATTGTAAACCATCTGTGAAGTGGTGTGCATATATACATATATATATACATACACACACATGTATGCATGTCTATATATACACACAAGAAAACATATATACATAGACATACACATATATATTTATTTTTCATTTATATAATATAAATGACAGATGAAAAATTTGCTGTTAGACCCTAAAATAACAGAGGTACACAGTACGGAGATAGAAAGAAGGGTAGGATTACATGAGTGTGAAAAATTGGGAAAGAAGCCAAGGAAAGTTTTTATAAAAAAGATGGCCCAGGCATTGAGAACTGAAAGACGAGTAGGTCTCATCCTRAGAGATGGATCAAAGATAAAAAGGATATTCTGGGCACCAAAGCAGCATAAGCAAAGACAAAGAGGCATGGTACAAATGCTAAGGACAGCAAGAAGTTTGGCAAGGTTGAAGTGAAGAGTACAAAGAGGGCTTGGCTAAGGATGAAATGAAAAGGTAAAGAGCAGTCAGATTTGGAAGAGAATGATTTGTCATATTAAAAAGATGGATTTTTATTCTAGAGAAGTTATTAAACAGGCCCCACTGGGGATATCTCTGAAGCATTTTTCTTTGACCTTTCATGTATTTGACTGTACTATAAACTCACTTATGTTGGGATTAAGTATTTTTTCTTGCCTAGCATATCTGATATTAAACTCATTGTTCCTCCTCCCAACCTGCTCGTCTTCTTATATTTCTTACCTTAGTAGTAGCACTATAATTCCATTTAGTTACCCAAGCCAGAACCTGGAAGCCATCAATAATTCCTCTCTTTCAGGTTGCCTCTGAAACACTGGGATAAAACTGCAAGTGCATAGTACAGTCAGCCCTCTCTTCATCCGGGGGTTCCATATATGTGAATTAAACTAACCATGGGCCCAAAATATATTTTTTAAAAATTGCAATATACTAAATGTTAAGTACAGACTTTTTTTTTTTTTTTTTTTTTTGGTACCAGGGATTAAATCCAGAGCTGATCAACCACAGCCACGTCCTCAACACTTTATTTTGAGACAGGGTCTTGCTAAGTTGTTTAGGGTCTCACTAAGTTACTGAGGCTGGCTTTGAATTTGCTATTATCCTGCCTCAGCCTCCCAAGTCACTGGGATTACAAATGTGTGCCACTGCACCCTGTGTACAGATTTTTTTTCTTGTCATCATTCCCTAAAAAATATAACATGGCAACTATTTACCTAGCACTTACATTGTATTAGGCACTATAAGTAGTCTGGAGATAAAGTACACAGGAGGATATGCATAAGTTATATGAAAATACAATGGTACATTTTACCATTTATAAAAGAGAATTGGGCATCTACAGATTTAGTTATCTCTATGTATGGGGGTGGTTCTTGGAATCAATCTATCATACTAATATTGAAGGACAATTGTATATGGCTATACTGGCTATGAAGTACATGACTTCAAGGACTGCCATTTATGATTACTAAAATGTGAATACAAGGCAATAAGAACGTAAAGTGAAGCAATGTGGAAGTCCTCTACTGGAAGTATAGGTTGGCGATCCAGTCTGAGGAATCATTAGCATAACAGGGTCTGTCAAAAAAATGGGAATGGGTGAGATGACCTATTACAAGTAGTGCAAGAAAATTCTTTTCCTGAGGATCAAACATTTGAATTGCATTTTCAGCATAAATGCACTTGTGTATTTCTCTAGAAAAAGGACCTTTAGCTTCCAGTATGTATGTGTTCAGAGGGGATCATAACCCTAAAGTTAAGGAGCACTATTGTGAATGAGAAGATGGTTAAAGCCATAGCTGCTAATATTTAAAGTGGAAGAGTCAGGAAAGAAGACTGAAAAGGAAGTCAGAATAGCAGAACTATGAGAGCAGTGTCACAAAACTTCCAGAAGGGATGAGTCAGTCACATGCCAAAGAAAARTGACCACTGCCCTGATTTTGGCAATCAAAAAGTTGCTGGGACATTTGCTTGAATAATTTCGTTGGAAATTGGAACAGGTCTCTATCTACAGTGGGCTGAAAAACACATGAGACAAGGACATTGAACTAGAAAGGACAGATTCAGAAAAAAATGCAATATCAGAATGGAAACATAGGCTACAACTAGATTGCCGAAAGGAATTTCAATTTTATTCAGCATTACTCTGAATGATAAGTAAACTAAAACTCCCCATGACTGTCTTTAGTTAAGCCAATTAGAGAGATCAAATGAGCACACATCTGCAGCAAGGAATGGCTGCTTCACTGACTAACTCTTCCACTGTGGTAAGTTGGTTTATTTATATTTTCCTTCACATTTTCCTTTAGGATTTGTTTGCAGATCCTGTAAGTAACAGGAAGGGGGAGTGATGTGATTGATGCCAATCATTTAAAAACGAATGAGCTGGTAAGTATGGGCAAATCTCAAAAACYGTTTCTTAAATATAGATACTGCAGACAAAAAAAAAAAAAGATTATACTTTTGGAAATTTGCTGTTTGCCAGCTACCCTGCTTTATGCTAACAAGGTGTGACAATTAATCTGAACCCCGACAACCAGTAACATTTTCCATACTGTTTCTAGGTTCAGAAACAAAGTAGAAAAATTAAGATTGCTTTCATGGGTGGCAGATATACACTATTCCAATACGTTTTCAGTGTTCCCTAACATAAGGTATCAGGAACCACAAGAKAAAAAGTTTTGCATGGTTCTCAGTGCCATGGATATAACGTCCTGGCAATTACCCGGCTGACAGGGAAAGAGGAATTCGGGAATTCAAACGCAACCTCAAAGCGGCAGAGGAAGAAACGTGCAAACTGGCAGCAAGGTGACGATCCCAGTGCCCTTCGCGGATCCTAGCTGCTGCAAGGAGGGGGAGTGCGCTAGCCCCTCTTCAGGGCAGGGACTAGAGGTGGAGGGGAAAAAAAAAAAAAACAGTCGCCAAGTAAGCAAAGGGATATAAGCTTTCTTCCATCATCTTCCAATCCAGCCCTATTTTAGTTTACGTTAAAACAATAAAGCGTTATACCTGGTTATCCCCCGCCCCTACTGTTTAAATGACCAGAACCTACGCCGACAGTAACTGGTACACTTTACCACCCTTCCCTCTGGTCTTCTCTTCTCGAAAGCCTCGGAAGGGAAAAAATATCTTGACCCTGAGCACAAAACGCTCAATGGTCCGCTCTTGGAGAAGATGCCCCCAGGGTCTCCCGGGTGGAGGAACTTCAAATCTCCCACCATACCTCRGCCAGCGATGCAGGGCCCTCGATGCAGAGCCCTCGGGGCGCCACTATCCACCCTCTGGGCGCTCCACCAAATACCGACTCCTCACTCCTGTTTCCTTGCTGCGTCGCCGCTGAAACCACAGCAAGCCCAGCTGCTACCTTAGAACTAACCTGACAGTTTCAAACTGCAAGGAGGAATTAAAGACAGCTCTGTGCATTGGCCCCCAGCGTCAGCAATCTGCCGTCTGATTGGTCCACGGGTAGGGGGCGGGGCTTTGGGCAGCCGCGGGACAAGCCGGAATTAGGCGATTTAAGCGAGCTCCGCCCCTYGGTATGGGCTGGTTCCTAAGGGCGGGGTCCTAGGGAGCCCCACTCGGGCCTGGGGCTGAGAATTGCGCGTGCTCACTTCTGTTCTGCAGAAACGGTAGCTCSGGATACAGGTTTGGTTTGGTTAGAGGTTGCTGAGGGGGACTGACGTCTGTCAAGACAGAGTTACTACTGGCTTTCAGCAACGCCAGCAGCCTAGGCGTGGGTCATCATTATTTAGTCTAAATAAGAATCCTCTGCGTCCAWAGCTACTTACAGGCGGTGGAGCACGCCTATAATACCAGCGGCYCGGAGGCCGAAGGAGTTCAAAGCCAGCCTCAGCAAAAGCGAGGCGCTGAGCAATTCAGCGAGACCTTCTCATTGAATAATATACAAAATAGGGCTGGGCATGTGGCTCAGTGGTTGAGTTCCCGACCGGCGGGGTCCCCCCGCCCCCCCAAAAAAAGAATACAAATTACCGATCCCCTTGTTAATTTCTTGAGTCTTGGATAAAGACAGTGAATTTGAATGTTTAACAAATACTGCCATTAATTCTGATGCAGAGATGTGGGGGTTATGCTTTAAGAAATATCTGGCCTAGACAGCAACGCAGGCCCTTTTAGGGGAGTACTGACCTTAMAATCAGATCTTAATCTGGTTTCACCACCTACTCATTGTCCCCTTGGATAATTAAATCTACCCACATAAAGGGCAGGGGGTAGGGAGATTAAACAGTTAATATATTCAAAACACCAACCACATAGACAAAAAATGAGTCAACTTGTATTGGCAATAGATATATATAGTATATAAGGATCCAGGTGGTAAGGGGTCCAGTCCTGGGGTACTCCAGTCTGAAGAACAAATAATAAGATTTGGTGAGTTTCCCTTCCTTCTATTACCTGAAAGATGAGGTTTCTTTTTCTGTGGATAGAAGTGGAATAACCTGGGTCTCACTGGTAGAGTTAGACTTCTACATATTCAGACCATGAAGTAAGAAGAGCCACCAAAAATTTCTTTAGCATAAATTATGTCTGTTTTCTTTTTCTCCCATGGTTATTATAAAGGACAAATTGCTACTAATAGATAAAAATTAGTGCCTCATTCTAATATCTGCTTTTTAATTTGATTACCATTTGGTGGACCCCATCCGCTATAATTGTTGCTGGTTCACTTTTCATGTGCCAYCCTGGTATAGGCTCCAAGTTTCTGTTCTCTATCTCCCTTTTAAAGGAAGACTTTCACAAAAATCATAAGCCATCCCCATTCTTGTATGAAACTACAGAAACAGAGACCAAACCTCATCTGGATGATATGAATTTAGAACTGATTCTTTCCCCAGAAAAGGAGAGAATTTAAATTCAAACAAACCCACAATAATTTAATTGCCCKCTTGAATTCTTTGTAATTATTCATTCAACAAATATTTAACATCCATCACGTGTGAAGCATTTGTTGATGTAGGGATACAGTAGTCAGCAAAGCAGACATGGTCTGCCTTCATGGAATTCAGAGTCTACTTGTAAAAAACAAATACTAAAAAAACAAGAATAAGGAATAATTACAAATTGTGTTTGAAGTAAGGAGAAATAAAGAAATACCTGTCTGAGTAGGAACTATCCAGTCAAGAACTTACTTTATCTAATAAACACATATAGTGCTTACTGTGTTCTGGAAACTATACTGTGGTACTCATTAACTCAGTTCTAAGAACATCTGTGACATAGGTGCTATTTCTATCCTCATTTTTCAGATACAGAAATTAGGCACAAAGAGGTTATGTAGATTGGCTAGGTTAACATAGCTATAAGAGCAGGTTTGGAGTCCATATGCTTATCACTCAGTATGTACTGTTGGGAACAGCATGACCAAAGTCTTGGGGTAAGAAAGTATTCATATCTGACTAAAGGAACAAAAGCCAGTTAGACTGGAACTTAGTAGATGAGAAGAAAGTGGCATAGGAGGAGGCTGCACRTAGAGGTAGAGAGACAACTGTGTAGAACGTATCAAGGGTATGAGATTTTATGAGTCCAATGGGATGTTTTTAGATGTTCAGAAGAGAGGTGAAAACAATATGGACTAGAGAAATTGCAATGGAGATAGAAAACTTATGAGCTAATTTTGGAGGTAGTGTTGATGGGACTTGATGGACTATATCTGAGATGAAGGAGAGAAAAATGTCAAGGACCCCTAGTTTCAGATTTCTGGCTTGAGCACCTGGGTGGATGGCATCCTCATACAGTGTTGAGGAGAACACTGGAAGAGGAACATGTTCTGAAAGGGGAACATCAAAATTCAATTTGAAATATGCCTGACAGAGGAAATGCCTGGAGGTATCCAAGTGGATAATCTATTAAACCACTGGACATAGAACTCAAAAAAGAGTTCAGGGCCTGAGAATATAAATTTGGAAGCTTTTGCATATAGATACTGTGGAGGATTGCAAAAATGGCTCCAAATTTTCCTGTATCTATGTCCTTTGCCTTGTAACTTTGCCTTGTTTTCCCACTAATGATCTGGAGGATGGTACGTGATGCAAGCAGAAACTTTTAAAATGCTTATGTGATTGCCTTGACTTGCTCCTGCCCTCAGTTATAACCATGAATGCATGATGAGGCTAGCCCCCTGAATGAAGAAAGATACATATAGTACAGCTAAGTTGCCTCAGTCATCACAGCTAAGCCCATGCAAGATAACCCTATAGCCAACTTCATGTCCACAGTGGTGTTTGTGTCCAATCAAGACCAGCAGGTCCATTCAGCCAACCTTCAGAGTCACAAACTAAATAAGTGTTGTTTGTTTAAGGCCTTTGTATTAGGGTGGTTTGTTATGTGGACTTACTATAGCAATATAGAATTGATAAAGATATAATATTTAAAAGCTAAAGAACTAGGTGAAAAAATGTGGGAGGACACAGTGGATATACAAGAGCATTCATAACTGAACCTGATGTTCTCTAATGTTTGGAGATTTGGTAGCAATGGAAGAATCAGCAAAAAACACTGAGACGGAGGTGCTGGAGAAGTAACAGGAAAACCAGAAACCTGACTGTTGAGAATTTGCTCTAGTGTGTTTCTTCTTTGGATCCCCACCATTTTTGGTTAAGCCATTGTTGAATTTGGCCTGGTGTTTCTCGATTGCACCCCTTCATTTCCTCTTTCTACATTATATTCTTTGTGCTGCTCATAAGTTGTTTTTTAAAAATATCACTGGATTGGATTGTATCATTTGTTTCTAAGAATCCTTCCATGTTACTGCAGGCATTCAAAGCTCTTATAAGCCTAATCCTACCAAATATCAGAAGGGCTAAATTTGAGTCCCCCAATTTACCACTTACTAGGTGCAAAACTGGGAAAATTGTGTAATCTTTATAACTATAAAGCTCCATCTCTTCAATGTTAAGAAAATAATAGAACATAACATATCTAAATCCAAATCTAAACCTGAACTGGAACCTAAATCAATCTATTTATCTATATCTAGTTCATAGTAAAATAATCAAAGGTGGGCATATTACCTGTCTACCTAGACTCCATTTTCCACCCGGCCTTTCAGATAAATGAGGCCATGGATGAATGCAAGTGAAGACAGAAGTGAAGTCTGTCACTGCCAGAACTGGGATATRAGACATAGGTTGTGCTTTTTTCAAGTCTGATTCTCCTTTCTCACTGTTGGGCTGAATGACCACATGGAATAGAATTCCTCTGCTAGTTATGTAATATGAGAAAACAGACAAATCTTGTTTTTTCCCCTGTATAATTATATTTTTGAGTAAATATGCTTCAGTCTTTAATAACACATCTACATCTGTATAGATAAGTATATAAAGTCATTGGGAAGTAATATGTGCAAAAGTATTTAAATTTTTGAAAAAGATTAACCTGTTGCTRGATGCAGTGGTACATGCCTATAATTCCAGCTACTCAGAAGGCTGAGGCAGAAGGATTCCAAGTTTGAGGCCAGCCTGAATAACTATTATAGTTTGGATCTGGAGTGTTCCCCTAAAGGCTCATATGTTGAAGTCTTAGTCTCTGATGCCAGAGTATTCAGAGGTGGGGCTCTTGGGAARTGATTTGATCATGGTGGCTCTGACTTAATCAGTGGATTAATGYATTGATAGGTTCATAACTTATGGCATTACTGGTAGGTCATAGAAAATTGAGTAGGTCGGGCCTAATTGGAGAAAGCAGGTGAATGGAGATGTTTCCTGGAAGAATATATTTTGTTCCTGCCCCCTTCCTCTCTCTACACCTCACTTCCTGGCTGCCACAAGGTGAACTTTCCTCCAACATGCCCTTCCACCATGATGTGTTGCCTCATCTCATGCCCAAAGCAATGAAACCTGCCAACCATGGACTGAAACATCTCTAACTGTCAGACAAAAGAAATCTTTTCTCCTGTAAGTTGTTTTCTCAGGTATTTAWCACAGTGATAAAAAGATGACCAACACAGCAACTTTATGAGATGCTTTCTCAACTGAAATAAAAAAAGCTGGGGTTTGGGGGTTGTTGCTCAGTGGTAGAGTGCTTGCCTTGCATGTGGAAGGCAGTGGGTTCAATCCTTAATACCCCATAAAAATAAAATAAAGGCATCGYGTAAATGACCACATGGAATAGAACTCCTCTGCTAGTCCATCTACAACTAAAAATAAAATAAATAAATAAATGCATAAAATAAAGTTATATTTTAAAAAAGGTCTGGGGATGTAGTTCAGCAGTAGAGCCTTGCCTAGTATGTACAAGGCCCTGCGTTCAGTTCCCCATGTTGCTAAAACAGACAAACAAGCAAACAAAATCTTACTTACTTTTAAGTCAGCCAAGTGAGATAGAAAGAACATTGGTTTTGGATTAAACTTCCCCAAGAAAT